AAGGGAAAGGTTCCTTTGGAGCTGTTTCCTCCCATCGCCTTCACTGTTTGTGTTGGATGGAGCAGTTCTGTGGGCAGTTGCTGATAATTTAGTGACAAAGTGATAGGCACGTGGGGATTAGCTGAACATGGTGAGGGTTTTCGGGCTGTGCCATGGACAGTTTATAGGATTCTCTGAGACGTCTGCAGTTACAGCAAAGATGAATAGAGAGGGGGGTAGTCAGCAGAGCAGTTCATGCTGCAGCAAAACAACTGCCAGCCTGCCTTCCCTAGGAAACCCATTGTGTAAATATTTGTGTAGAAGCCTCCAAAGGAGATTTAAAGTCTTGTGATAAAGGTAACTAAAACGTCCTTTCCTTGAGAAAAACAACTATGATCCAGAAGATCCCATGAGTAACCGTGAGAGAGATTTCCTTTCTGTAGCATCCCTATATTAGAGTGAACAAGCGTGTATGTCAGGTCTTGTTGTCACTGATGGATCTCAAAGCATTTTTCAAAGGAGGTCAGCATCAGCTTTCCCATTCTCAGGGTGCAGAAGCCAAGAAGCGGAGGAGGCACACATGCCTTGTGAATGATCAGCTCCCCTGCACACTAATCCAGCACCTCATCCACACAGACACATTGCTTCAGATCTTCATGTGCCTTACAAACACCATCTGTATTTGTGTACTGAAGATATATTATCCCTAGTCTTTACACACTCATGTACATAAATGACAGAGCTTTTAAATAGCACTCGTGTTCAGCTCTTCAAGCGCTCGGGGGTCATGCTGCATGGGCAGGCACTGAAAGAAGTGGCAGATTTTCAGAAAAATGTGATGTACTGAACTGTTTTGATAAAAAAAATCTGTTCTGTATTTTGGCACATAATTTCCATCTGAGTTCGTGATAAGCCTGGCCCATGAAACGCATGTAGCCCATATTCACACCCGGCGTGTGCAGCTCCCTGCCATATGGATGAACTGTTAGCACACAGGAGTGTGTAACACAGTCCCAACTCTTCGCACGCATTGGGAAGCACGCACTGGAAATCTGGGGGGTTGATGTGGATACAGCATCCTGGCTGAGGTGCAGCCGAGCAAGCAGCAGACAATACCATGGAGCTCACCTAGGAATTGTTTCACCTAACTTACTGTGTCTGAAAATTCTCTCTTCTTTGAGCATCAAGGGCATCTTGACTGAACTAGATACTTGACTTTTTACTTTCTGGAGTTAGGATGGAGGGCTCTTGTGTTGGTACAGGAAAACTCACTCACTGAGCTCACAGGGAAACCCAGGACTTGATAGGGAGCAAACTCCCCTGCCTCCCTGCCACATCAAGTGTCCTCCTCTTCTGTCAACAGCTCTGCTCAACCATCGCTTCTTGTCTCTTTGTTGAGATTTTGCTTTTCCATGGTGAAGGGAAAGCCATGCCTTTGTGCCTCTTAGCTCTCACTCAGTTCCACCCATCCTTCTCTGGGTAAGAGCCTTGGGAGAGGAGAACCTCAGTTCACTGCTTGTAGTCTTCCTTCATCCAAACTCTGGTGCTGCTCAGCTCATTCTTAGTGACTTCCTACTCCCATGTTCCCATCTATAAGTCTTTGGTGTTGATTTCCCTTCTCTGGTCACACAGAGAAGCAGAAGGAGTTCCCTGACTCGCTGGGCAAGAGCCGACCACAGTCTCAACCATCTCAGTGCAGCAGATAGCACAGATCAGCCAATTTGCAGAGCATCAGCAGCAGTATTTTTTCATGCAGACAGACTGTGCTAAATCAGTTCCTTCTCGCTGTGCTTTGAAACGTTCTTGTTTCTTGCTCTGACAAACTAGCAGAGTTTGTATTGATCTGATGATGCAAAAAAGCACATAGTGTGGGCTTCAGACACCTGGTGGAATAATAAAATAGAAAGGAGGGCAGGCAGGACCATCATATTTTAGCTTATATCGAGTAGGAAGTCTGTCTTCTACCTTCTTTTCTTTTCTCTTGGAAAGCATGGTTTGTTTCTATGGGAAGTACAAAACCCCATGGCTGGGCATCCTGTCTACAGAAGGAAATACTGTATCAGATCTCCAGCCATATATGTTATGGTCCTTCTGAGCTTCAAGGTATCACCCGAGACAAAACTGGGAGCCTCCAGTTCCAAAACCAAAGGCTCCTTCACCACCAATGTTGGTATCTGGGGCTGGGAGCAGGGACCAGTGCTGGGGCTCTTTCTCACCCAAGGCTGTGCAGTGGCTGATGCATCCTCTTCAGCTCCTGCAGCAGCTCTTCACCATATTTTGTGCAGAAAAGCCTGGGTGGAAACAGCCTGCAGGCCACCAGGTGGGTCATCAGCCTGTAGCATGAACCTTCAAACCACTGAGAGGCACAGAAAGAAGGTGGCACTAAAGAAATAAAGTATGTGCCTTGCTGTGTGCTTTCCCTCCCCCTTTTCTGCAAGTGATACTAATGAAATGTCTTGCAATTAGTCAACCATCGTGTGCTGCATTTCAGAGCCTCACTTTATTCAGATATTTCATGTTACCAGCTGTTTGCATTTGGGATTTCTTTAAGCAGTGAAAGCACGAAGGAGATATGAAACTTTGGGTTGGAAAAGCATGGAGAGCTAAAGCAGCTCTACACAGAAATCAAGCCCATTGCTGAAACACTAAAGCACAAAGTCAAAGATCTGAGAAAATTTTCCCTCTTTCCCCTTTCACCTTCTTTTATTATTATTTCAACATTGTTATAACCGACGGAGCGTAACTTGCGAGAGCCGGACTGTGTTTCCATCCCTGCCATCGCATGTTACCGCCACAACAAACTCACTGCTTTATCTCTTGCCTTGGGTAAACTGATATCAAAACTGGAATATCGGTGCATACTCACCATCTTGGGGATGCAGCAGATATGTGGCAGTAAGAGGACGAGAGAGATGCTGAAGCAGAGCTCAGCCACTCAGAGTTTTACCTGCTGGGGAAGCCCAGCAAAGCAAGCTTGCGGTTCCCTGCGCCCAGCTGAACACAACCCACACAACTCTTATTCCAAGTAGGGCAAACCACTGCAAATCCCTTCTGTGAGCCTCTGGCATAGCTTTACAACTGAGCTGAAAGCCATTTAATGCAGACTTCATAGAGAAAAATCTCACTCACCAAGTAGTATACCTTATGAGAAGCCATATTTTGCATAACATTACAGAGGAAACTCTCGTAAGGAGACAATTTATTGCCATGGCAGTAACTGGCTGACATTTATGAGAAGCCTTGTTTTACAAGGCTTTCCTTTGGCTGCAATGCCAGGGCTCCAGTTGTGCTCATGGAAAATGAGAAGGAAAGCAATGTTATTTAGCGTGCGTGATACTCCAGAGGCACACTGGTGTGAATAACAACAGGGGTAAAGTTTGCTTGGATCGCACGGGATTGTGCATTCCGGGATTGTAAATCTGGGGTGAGTTGAAGGGAAATGCTTGTTTTGACTGAATTTGTTTCATAATAAACTCTGTGTCTTGCATGGCCAGCTTGAAGCTCAATAGAGTTGTTAGCACATCTGAATTTTTGCTATGGGGAAGAGGCTGGGGCCAGGGTAAGACTTGGTCTATCTTGGCCCCAGAGAAGGGGAAGATGGATATGGGAGACACAAGAGCAGGTGATTTTTAACCCACAGAGCTAAAGCAGAAAGCTGAGCTGTCCTCATTTAACCCGCCAAGCCCACATCTCTCCACTCCCTGCAAGGCAGCTTTGCATGGGGGGTTCAGCTCAGCCAGCAACAGTGGGGAGAGGTGATGGATGAGGGCAGAAATGCCCAGGGCACTGCAGCAGCCGCGTCCCCAGCAGCCTGTACCCGCCGTGCCAGGCTCCTGTAGACCCCTCTGCTCCTTTCCAGTGATGCTTTAGGACTTATCATGGGAAGAAATATCATTAAATTGAGGTGGTGATCCATGCAGCACTCAGGAAGGTGCCTTGGCTGGAGGGTGGTGGGCCCCTGGGGGGCTGAAGCATGCTGTGGGGTTGAGCTGGGTTCATGCCATGTCCAGGCATGCATGAATGCCACGGGGCGAGCCCATGCCAGGGGGGCTGCCTGTGTGCTGCCTAAGTTGTGTTGAGGAAGGGATTTCCAAGAGCCAAAGAGACTTAAGCAGTCTATATGCCATTAGCAGACAGTGGGATTGTGCCTGTGCGTCCTGAAGGGCTTTGCGGGGCTGAGTCGTGATCCATAACTCAGCAAAGTTGCTCCTCACTTATGGTGCTCTGTGTCAGAGGAGAGCCAGGAAAGGGCTTAACCATCTGTAGAGGAGTTTTCTTGGTCCATGTCTCATTTATTTCTTAGCACCCCAATATATAGGACCTTGGAAGTCTTATCTAAGTCTTCTATACCTAAATGTTTTATTGATATTATTTGCTAACAGTCGCAATAAACTATACTAGTATGGAAGCACCTTTGGACCAGTATAATGATATCACAAGTGTCTCCTCTAGTACATATTAAATAGGATATCCTGAGTAGGACAAGCTCGTTTGGGGATTCAGGCCCAAACGAGCAGCTGGTGCAACCTCAGGGAGCATCAGCCCTGGGAGGAGCCTTGCTTGCTCTGGGATACCTCTGGGATGGCTGAATCACTGCTGCTGAGGAGTTGGGGGGAAACTTGTCTGGATGTTTCCTCCGCCGGCCAAGCTGGCTGCAAAGCCGGAGGCCACGGTATGAAATGTCGGGGCCCCTGCGCTGCAAATCATCCCCCCCAGCCCCATTTTTCACACTGGAACGACCTCCTCCAAGCAGATGCCACACGCTGCTCCATGACAGCTACTGGGGTGGTTTTTCTTTTTCTCCTTCCAGCCTTTTCTTTCCCCCAGTGCCAAAAGAAGGGGGATTAATAAAAAAAAAAAATAAATAAATAAAAAAAAAAAAAAAAAAAAAAAGAAACCAAACCCACGAACAAATGCACCACAGCAAATTAAAGCCTCCAGCTTGCACCGGGGGAGCCGGCAGCCACGTGCCGTGCTGGAAAGCCGAGAGCCCTGACACACATGCCTCTTCTCTCTTGCAGATGACGGAGGGCCGCAGATGCCAAGTGCACCTGCTTGATGACAGGAAGCTGGAGCTCCTCGTTCAGGTAGGAACTCCGCGTTTTGCCGCACGATGGTTTGCTACAGCTGTGGATTTTCACCAGGGTGGGGAGAGAAAAGGGGTTTCGGCTGGTTTTCTCAGCAACTTCACGCCGTGATTGGCTGCAGAGCTCTGGGGGGCTGTGTTAGTGCTGGGTGGGAAGGATCTGCAAAGACGTATCTGTGGGAATGACTAATTCAGAACATATTTTGCTTTATTCGGTGCCAAAACTGTCCCAGTCACTGTCAGTGAGATAGAAAAACAGCTCTGGTCATCTTTGACACTGTTACTATACCACTTAGCTATTTTTTGAGGCTTTGCTTAGCTTTGAGAAATGTATTGCGTCTGCTTAAAATACCTCCAGCATTTGTTTTTATCTTCTTTACCTGCCATCCTAAATTGCTGGGGTATGATGTGGGGCTCCATGCCAGAGGTGGCTGTGCCCCATGGACCTGCCTGTGCCAGGAGCACAGAAGGGGCTACAGTGGTGGTGCCATGGGCAAGCACTGCTGGAGATATTAACACAAACGTGCATTGAAATAAGTCTGTGCTCCATCTGCCTAATTTTTTATTAAAAAAAAAAAATACTGGAAAATTATGAAAAAGGAGAGGCTGGTGCTGGCTGTGTAATGATGGGCTGATGGAAGATGTAGCATCCTGTGCTTTTCTGACAATTTCGGCTCATGTCTTGGAGATTACCAACGGGTTAATAACAAGAATTAGAAGAATGCCTTTCCTTTTACAAACTCTGCGCCAGCCACAGGAAATGAAACTTCCCATAGTGCCCAAATCCCCCGGCTGGGAGGGGGGGCAGGATCCTGCCCAGCACAGGCAAACCTGAATGGGGATTGCTGAAGGTGACTTCAATCACCAGAAGCACATTCAGCCTCGCTTCCTGAAAACTGGCTTAAAAATACCCATCAACAAAATGTTAATGGGTATTTTTCAAGTCCATAGTCACGGAGGAGGTGAAATCCCTCAGCTCCTCATGACACTCGCTGTGGTTAGAGTGCCTGGATAACCATGAATGAGCCAGGCTGGAGCTGGAATGAGAACAGCTAAATCAGGATGACTAATTAAAAGAAAACACTACACCAATGGTACCCCTGTACCAGGCTGCACTGGGCTTGCTAATGCTTAGCAGCTGGCTGGGGGAAGCTCAGCCACTTTCATCACAAGGACACAGCGCTTGGTTTCCTGTTTCATATAAATGCCTTTTTAATTTTTTCTTCGTTCGACTAAAAATGAATGGGCTAGTTGAGAACAGCTCTGCTAAAGGACTGCTCACAATTTTAATAATCACACTTTAAAACAGATGAGCTGCCCTGGCCAACATGCTTACTTGGGGTTTTTATCAATAACACAGAAAAAACACAGTAAAGATGACAGTCGAGGAAGCTGGTTTGGGAAGCTGTGTCCACTTCTGAGTGAGCAGAAACAATATCACATGATACTGTTTTCTAAAGTGTTTGATCACACCTTCAGTGATAATTTCTCGTAATCAATATAGGAAGCGAATTGCCCTGTAAATCACACTAACTAGTTTGCAAGTGACCCATGGCTGAATTTTATTTGTATAATAAATTATTTTGCTGTTTTCAAGTAACTTATGAATGGGGAAAGCCCAGAGGGGTGATTATGAAAAATTCATGTCCAGAAAAATCAGTAACCTCTGTTGCACGTAGGTTAACATAGATCTCTGAGTACCACAATGCCCCTACGCGTACAGGATTGTCCATTGAAGCATCTTAGATGCTTTTCTGGTTAAATGAGGCTTTTAAACGCTGTTAGGTAGCCTCTACTGAGGGCGATAGTAAATAAATCACTTTTGGGTGGAGCAGACAACAGAGGAAAGGGCTGTTTGGATTTGAGTATGTCTCCAATATTGATACTCTTTGCAGACGTGGGCACAACACTTTGGTGTGCCTGCCTGTAAAGCACGGGCAAAGCCACCAGCTTTGGGGTGGTCCTAGGGCTGGCTGCTCCTCCCGGGGCAGGATTAGTAGTGCTTTGCCCTTGCGGGTCCTCAATCGACAAGGTCCCCTCGGGGAGCAACGTGCTCTCTGCCCGGGGAAATCTCACCAACTGACCCATATTGGTTGTAACTTGTGGTGAGATTTCAGATAAAAGTTGTTTTGTAAGTTCTGAGCACCATTATTTTTATTATTACCTTATCTCGTAGCCAAACTGAATAAGAGGCTGTAAATAAAAAGTTCATCCAAGCCTGAGCTTCTGGCTGTCACTTCAAAGCTGTTTCTTTCTGTGGGTGTCTTGCCACAGGCTGAAAGGGAGGGCTGATTTGCTGGTTTATGCCACGAAGGAGGTTCCTCCATAGCTGTGTTGGGCCTTAACATCTAGACCTGCGTTGGCTTGAATTGTTCAGATACCAGGCTCTTAAATTCTCGTGTGAAATTTCCTCCTTCCCATCAACCTCAGCCTTTCCTGGAAGCTTTTCCATAGCTAATTTCACACTCCTTTGGCAAGTTTAGGAGAGACCACTGGGAATCGGTAAAACTGATTGCTCTGCCATGGGCGAGATCAAAATAACCTCCTGACCTGGATCTGGCTTTACATGGCCTTGAAGCGCTTGTGTATGTGATATTGAGTGCTCGGCTTAGAGAAAGGTTCAGGGATCCTGCTTCTGTATTTTGGTGTGGAAAAAAACAGCAAAAGAGGCTGGGTCTAATCAAAGGGAGGAGATGGGTAGAGCTCCCTTGAACGGATGGAGGAAGGTTCCTGGAGCATCTTGAAACCGCTTAGGCCAGTGACTCTGGGGAGCTGAAATTATTTCCTCTCCTGCTGCCTTGAGTGCTGCTGGGCAGAAACAGATGCATCTGGGAATGATCAGGGTGTTTGCAAAAAGCAGTGTATTAAGCAAATGTACTCCCTTTTTTTGTCTGCAAATTAGCTGCGATCAGACTCAGGGGTTTATGAATATGCCATTTGGAACATATCAATTGATCGTTAACAAGGACCATACCTCAGGCTGCAGGAGGCCGGCAACTGGTAACTGTGCTCCTCCGGTTGCTCGCAGGAGTCAGCCCTGGCTCCGTGTGACAGCTCTGCCAGGCCAGACTGAAATGTTTCGACACCACAAATTCTCTCCCAAAACTACAAAGACCCCTCAGACTGGCCACACAACGATTGCCAGTGAGACCCCCCACGCATATATGTTTTATTTGCTTTACTGAGCCCCAAAAGTAAGATTTTGGCTCAGGGGCAGCGTTTATAACCCCTTCTGTGAATGCTGGCTTGCTTCGGTGTTGGCATGTAACACAAGGGCTTGGGGTTCCCACCATCAGGAAAGTGATCCTGCGTTTAGTCAATCAAAGGGTCCTGACTAAAGTCTCTTCCTCACAAGCTGAGCGGCTGCAGAGTGGTACAGCAGCAGCTAAAGAAAAGCAGAAACACAAGTTCTGCGGATAAAAGAAAGCCCTCCCCAATGTGTTTTGTCAGATAAATGCTGAAATTTAGAAGGCCTAAACATAAAAGGAGACAGAGGAGGATCATATTGAAATCTCTTCCTGAGGGTCTGAAACTCAAAGCCTGTTTGACTTGAGATTAGGAAGAAGAGTTGCATTTGGTATGTGTTTCATTTGATAAATGCCTGTTGATGATCTGGTGTGTGTGGCAAGTTTACATAGGATTTTTTTTGACATAATTTTCTTTCTGAGCCGAAGCAGAGCGTGGCTCCTTGGATCTTCTTACAATCTGTTTTTTTTTTCCTGTTTCTATTTGATGCATGTTTAGTTTCTAATACAGGGGTTTTTTTTTTTTAAAAAAAAAAAAAAAAAAGTGTTTGGCTTTATCCAGCTAATCCTTTTCAGAGAACAAGTCCCTTTTCTTGCTTCTGGAAAATGGATTTGCTCACGTTCCCGGCTCTCAGCCTCCCTATCTGTTATATTATTTCCCTGTGACCGTGTATCATTTGTCTGTTGCACATGAAAGGTTTGTGTTGCTTTATTTAAAGACTTTTGCGTAATTGGCAATCCGTTCCTTTTCATGTGGGTTTTTAAAACAAGGCTTTTTTCCGGGCTGGTTGAATCAGGCAGCCTGGCTCACTCCCGGCTCCTCTGCTGGCTGCGGTGCCTGTTATCTGACGGTGACTCCGGCAACTGTCATCTGAAAGTGTTAAGCCTCCTAATTCTTTCTCTCTAGAAGAATTATTGCAGAAATGGAGCTCGTCTGAGGCTTGTAGCAGAGCTGTCTGTGGGGTCCAGAGGGCTTGGAAATTAGACCATAGGAAATAACTGGGCTTTTTGTTTCTAACCTTCTCCCCAAGAAGCTCTGAGTCTGATTTGGAAGAGTCAAAGAGAGATGTGGGGGTCAGCACCAAGCTTATCTGTGGATATTTGGGTGGTTAACCCACCCAGATGTCCATGTTATCACTTCTTAAGTAACTCTTGCTACCCAGACAGCCCAGGGTAAGCTAGGTAGACTTGCAGAATTTTTATCTCCCAGCTGCGATGCGAGTGCATCCAAAACCACATGAACAGCGATACGTATATACACACAGCCAAAACTAAATGGGATGAGCAGAACATTCCTTTCTAACCATTTGCCTTGGGCACCAATTCTGCTTTGAGCAGGTCAGGAGTCCTTGGAAAGCCCAGGACTTGTCTCCAGCGTGCCTGTGGTGCTTCAGCATCAGGTCCCCAGGAACCACTCCAGACTGGGAGGCGCTGGTAGGTGTGAGCAAGCACTGGGCTGGCGAGATGCCTCGTGGGCTGGTGACTCACTGCCACGTGGATAGCTGTCACCAGTGTGGCTGTCCTGGTGGAGATGCTCAGTTCAGAGTGCACTGGTGTCCCTTGCTCCTCCAGGCTCAGCCTCACTGGGGCCAGGCTGACGCATGCTGTCCTGGGGAAAATACAGCATCTTTTGAGAGCAATAATTCCATTAATAATGGTTAGAGGGAGAAATAAAATGTTCCACTCTCTTCCCAAGATGCTGTGAGAGTTTCTGCAATATTTTCAGTATTGCTCATGGTCAGGAAACTGCAGTCAG